TATTGTCATTATGAAACAATATCCTTTAGGAAAATAAAATTCATCATATGAGGCTCCATTACACAAATACCAAACCAGACAAAAACATGAGATAAAAATTACTATTGGTTTTCTTCCTCATAAAACTAAATTGTCAAAATTATTAGTAATTCATTGATCAATAGGTGTTAAGTTAGAGTGAGATAACTGTGAGCATTCTTAGCTGTCAAGTAAGTGAAAATTAAAACTACTTTGACATCTCATGCCACCTTGGCTTTGACCAAGAAAACAAATGATACAAAATGCAGGCAAGGATGTGGAGAGACTGGAGCAAGCTACTTATTGCTGGTAGGAATGCAAACTAGGATAGCTGTTTTGGAAATCTTCTGGAGGTTCCTCAAAACATTGAATTCTCTCCCCCTGCCCCCCGGTGGTTTGTTTTACTCAGGAGACAGAGGCTAGTGGATCTCTGTAGGTTTGAGGCCAGCTTGGTCAACATAGTATATCCCAGGAAAGCCAGAGCTATATAGAGAGACCATGTCTAAATAATAATACAATATTACCCAGTTATGCCACACCTCACAGATACTCAAAGGACTCTATAGCCTGCCACAGCTAGATAATTTACATATCCCTGTCTCTTTTTTGCTGCATTATTCATAATAGCAAGAAAATGGAACCAGCCTAGATGTCTCAACAAAAGAACGGATAATTAAAGTGTAGTGTACGCCCATAAAGGAATTTTACTCAGCTGTAAAGAAAATAAATTCATGGAATCTTCTGAAAAAGGAAAACAGATGAATCTAGAAACTGTTACGTTAGGTGACAAACTCAGAAGACAAAAATTGCATCTTCTCATGTATGGATCCCAACTTTCAATGTTTGTGTAAATGTACATGAAGAGCTGTCTGTCAGTAGCTAACAGTTAGATAAAGCCCTGTTAGTCCCTCCCTGATCCGTAATTCACTATGATAGGCCAGTCTTTTATAGGCTCATTGTAGGCAGCTGATATAAGTTCATGACTATGGTGGATGTGTCATACCCAGAAGACAGCATTTCACAGCTCCAACTCCTGATTTCCAGCTCTTAGATTCTTTCCACTTCCTTTTCCACAATATCCCTTAGCCATAAAGGAGGTAGCACGAATGTCCTTGTTAGGAGTAGTGATTGTCTTCTGCTGTGTATCCACTGACACACACACTAGGATAGTTCCAAGCACATGTTATTAAATATGGATGATCCTGGCTAAATGCAATGATTCTAAATAAATTAAAAAAAAAACCATAAATATGGGGAAGGGACATGTAGAGGATTTTATAGGAATGAGAGGGAGATTAAAAAGAGTTGGGGACTGACTATAGTCATAAAAACATACTTTCTACATTACAAAATTATAAAAAGAGCAAATTCAATCCATTTATTTCAATTCAATAGAGGGGTGTGATAGTGAGTTAGATTATGAAACTAGGTATAAGACCATGTGAGCAAGAGTTCTTCTGGGGAATGTAAAGAACATAGGTGACATGAAAGTAGAAGGGAGGTGACTAGGAGTGGGACAAGGGGAATGGGGAATTTGAGAGAAACAGAGAGGGAGAAACAAAAACAAATTTCATTTGGAATTGCCATAATGAAATTTAATTCTTTGCATTACAATAAAATTTGTACTAAAATAAAAATTTTCAAAAGTTGCAGTCAAATAAGAAAAATGTAATGGTGTATTGTACAGCAGGGTGAGTAGACATTTACTTCCCCTAAAATATCTGGGAGAAAGGACTTTGACTATATAAACCATAAGTGGTGAATCTTTGAGGAGCTAGAAATGTTCGCCCTGATTTGACCAGTTCACAATATACTTGAATCAAAAACACACATAGTACCCCTCATAGCATGAACAATTTTATGACTCTTATTTTCAAAATTAGCACTTTGAATCATGACCAAATAAGGATGTTTAAGGATATGAAGTGTTGGTTTAATGTGTGAAAACCATAGAGGACAGAGAGATATCTCAGTGGTTAAGAGTGTTTATTGCTCTTCCAAAGGACCTGAGTTGTTTCAACACTCACATCAAGCTGCATCCAGCTACCTCCAACTCCAGTTCCAATATATCTGACATTATTCTGACACGGGATAAACCCAAAATCATATAAAATAAAAATAAAACATTAACATTTGAAAACTAGTCCAAAAGCCTCACCACATTAGTGCATCAAAAATGATACATGTATCATCTCAGTAGATGAGAAAACCTGGCAGTGAGAAAACTGCCAAGGAGCTAGAAATGGAAATTGACTTTCTAAATCAGAAAAAAAAATCATCCATGGAAAACCCACAGCAAGCCTCATATTTAATAGTAGAATTCAGAACTATTTCCCATACAGTTGGGAATAAGGATAGTATGTTCACTCATGCATTTTTACTAAAATAATCTACCTTCCTAGTGCATTCTTTAAAAAGTATTCATTTTTAGATTAAAACATAATTACATCATTTCCCCCTTTCCTTTCTTCCCTCCAAAACCTCTCATATATCTCTCCTTGCTCTCTTTCAAATTCATGGTCCCTTTTTTCATTAACTGTTTACATACATATAAATATATATTTCTAAATGCATAAATACAATCTACTTGTCTGTATATTACTTGTATTTATGGTTTCCCTGATGGCCATTTAGTACTGGATAACCAATCAGTGTGCTCTTCTCTGTGGAAGACTATATCTACTTCTTTCAGTATTCCTCAGTCGCCTGTAGTTCATTGCCTAGGGTTGAGGCCTCTGAAGCATTCCTTCATTCACGATGAGCATGTTTACTGATGTCTTCCCTTTTCATCTCATGGTTAGGTAGCCATGCTCATGGGAGTACATTCTAGCATTCCTAGGAGATACAGTCTCACAGAAAACTCCCTGTTCCACTAGCTCATACAGTCTTTCCATGCCCTCTTGTGAAACGGCCCATGAGCCTTAGGTGTAGCATTGTATTGTAGAAGTGTCATTTGGGGCTAGGCTCTGTAACTCTGCATTTTGATTGGTTGTCATTTTCTGTAATAGTGTCAGTCTTTTGCAAAGAAAAATTTCCTTGATGAGGAGTAAGGACTACACTTTTCTATGAGTATAAAGACAAATATTTAGAATGTCTTTAAGGACTGTGATGGTTTAGTAAAGTAGTGGCTGTATGTTCTCCTCCAAGACCTATGACTTCACTAGCCCTCAATAGTTGGCTGCAAGTACCAGGCATGATTTCCCTCTTGTTGAACAGATCTTTTTTTTTGTTTTTTTGTGTTTTTTTTTTGTTTTGTTTTTCGAGACAGGGTTTCTCTGTGTAGCTTTGCGCCTTTTCCTGGAACTCACTTGGTAGCCCAGGCTGGCCTCGAACTCACAGAGATCCGCCGGGCTCTGCCTCCCGAGTGCTGGGATTAAAGGCGTGCGCCACCACCGCCCAGCGTGTTGAACAGATCTTAAGGGCAATTAGAGAGCTCTTGGTTACTGCCAAAGTATGCATATCACTACTGCAGGCCCCTGTTATGCTCATCATTGTTTTAGTTCATAGGTGATGTAGCTGGGCAGGACTGTTGGTTGCTTCCCTCTTTTGGAAATACCAAGGCTATGAAAGCCAGTCTTTAGGAGAGAAGTTTTCTGATCATTTCCATTCCAGGGGTCTCTGGGTTTTGTGTCTGAATTGTGTGGTATCCTCACAATAGGAACTTACCTTTCACCTCTAGGGGGCAACCAAGGGCAATAGCAATAACATAGCCTTATGTTCTGGCAGTCTCTTGGACAACCCTATCCAACAATTGAAAAGAAGGAGGTTTCTCATACTTGGTGTTGGGGTCTTTTGGCTCTTGGAGGGAGCATTGTCAGCCCAGATAGGAAAATTTCATTTATACATCAATTTACATGTATTATAGAAATTTGTAGTTGTATAGTAAATAGATTCTTTATGATTTTTTTTCAGATGTACTGTTATTTTACCTTCCTTATGCCTTCTTTTTTATATATTTCTCCCCCACCCATTAATTAAAATCCTTTTTTTTTCAATATGGTCTACAAATTACTTTTACTCTTCTATTTTCCTCTGTATTTTTCCACACTCCCTCCCCCTACAATATCCATTTATACTTTCATGGTTTCTATAGTTACTCTGTTATGTACTCATAGTTGAAGATTTTTATCTAGATGCCTCAGCTGAGAGAAAGGATGTGACATTTGACTCTCTGGGTTTGAGTTACCTCATTCACTATGATCTTTTCTCATTCTATCTATTTAACTGCACATTTCATAATTTCATTTTTCTTCACAGCTGAATAGTATTCCATAGTGTATCTGAATCATATTTTCATTATCCATTCATCAGTTGAAGGTCATTTAGGTTGTTTTCGTTTTTATTTATTGTGAGTCAAGTACCAATGAATATGGCCGGCAAAGTATATGTAGAGTAAGATATTAAGTCCTTTGGGCATATGCCAAAAAGTGGTATGCCTGAGTAAAATTTATTTTTATCTTTCTGAAAATTATCCACACTGATTTCCACAGCAGCTGTATCAGGAAAGCAATGCTTGTCTCAGAAGGAGTCAATGGAAAGAGAATAAAAGATAGGATGAATCATAACCAGGGAAAAGAACATCATGTAAGTTTAAATGTGCATATAAAACTCAAGGAATCAAAAGCTGATGACAGCTTCAGGGAAGAAACTGTCATTTCTCCTGCTTATCAAGAAAAGGAACAGGGGGAAAGAGCTTCAGAATAAACAACTGTTGTCCATAGATTTACTATATAAAGTGTATTTTAAGTAATAATGATAACCATAAATTCACTTCATTTCAAAATAGTTATTTTCCATGCTATAGATTTGAGTGAAAATAACACAAGGGACTTTAAACTGCGATGGCTTTTATTCATTGATCAACCTGCATGCTCTTTCTCTTGGGATCCTTTTCTTTTAATCTGCTCATGAAAGTTCTTCCAGGTAGCATCTCATTTTCTAAAGACTGCACTTCTAGAATCTCCTAGATTATGGTTGCAAGCTTAAGTTAGGACCTGGCTATAGCTCAGGAGGAGGGGGTTTTTAACTCTATTTTAATGGTACCTTCTATTTTGAAAGTGGAGATTGGCTCCTCCTTGCTCCTAGGCACATCTGCAGGAACAGGATCTGCTCCTTCAGAGTTTCTATCACCTGTCAAAGAAGACTCTAATTCTTTCTCTGAGACATTTGCTACTGGGGACAATTGATGTTCTTTTAGCAGAGCCTTATCTTTAGGGGTTTGTTCAAAAGCTGGAAGTGGAGCTTCAGCTGGTGTCTCTTGTATAGGCAACTCTTGAATAGGAACCGTGTCAGATTTGGAAAGCTGTTTAACAACAGGAGACTTTTCTGCAGGGGTCTCAGGTGGTGGGAGCTGAACTTCAACAGAAGCCTTTTCAAGGCTCTCCTTAACTGATGTCAACTGGGCCTCCATAGTAGTTTCTTCTATAGGATCCCCCTCAGATGAAGGAAACCCAATTTCAGCTGCAGGGCCTTCTTCAACTGGGACCACTTCAGGAAAGACCTCCTCAGCTGGTAGAGATTGAACTTCAACAGGATCTCCTTCTAGAGGAGTCTCTTCAGTTTGTGGAAATCGAACCTCTGCAGGGACCTCATCTACAGCAGCCAATGATGGAGGCTGAACTTCAGAAGCCTCTTCTGCAGGAACCACTTCAGCTGCTGGAAGCTGAACTTCAGCAGGGGCTTCTTCTATTGGAGCACCCTCAAATGATGAAGGCTGGACTTCAGCAGTGGCCTCTCTTGCAGGGGATTCCTCAGCTGGAAGAGCCTGAAATTCAACTGGGACCCCTTCTGCAACATCCTCCTCAGCTGGCAGTGGCTGCGTTTCAACAGGTAAATATTCTAGAGGGGTCTCTTCAGCTTGTGGAATCACAACTTCTTCTTCTAGAGGAAGACCTTCAAGAGGAACCCTCTCAAGGGAAGGAACTTCTGTGGGAGCCATTTCTGCAGGAGCCTTATCAGCTGGTGGAGGTGGAACTTCCGTGGGGCCCTCCTCAGTTGGTGGCAGTGGCACTTCTACAGGGCCCTCCTCAGTTGATGGAGGTGGAACTTCTTCTGCCGGGGTCTCCTCAGTTAGTGGGGATGGAACTTCTTCTGCAGGGGCCTCCTCAGCTGGTGGGGGTGGAGCTTCTTCTACAAGGGCATCTTCAGTTGGTGGAGGTGGAACTTCTGCAGGGACCTCCTCAGTTGGTGGCGGTGGCACTTCTTCTGCAGGGGCCTCCTCAGCTGGTGGGGGTGGAACTTCTTCTGCAGGGGCCTCCTCAGCTGGTGGAGGTGGAACTTCTTCTACAAGGGCATCTTCAGTTGGTGGTGGTGGCACTTCTGCAGGGCCCTCCTCAGTTGGTGGCAGTGGCACTTCTACAGGGCCCTCCTCAGTTGATGGAGGTGGAACTTCTTCTGCAGGGGTCTCCTCAGTTGGTGGGGATGGAACTTCTTCTACAAGGGCATCTTCAGTTGGTGGAGGTGGAACTTCTGCAGGGACCTCCTCAGTTGGTGGCGGTGGCACTTCTTCTGCAGGGGCCTCCTCAGCTGGTGGGGGTGGAACTTCTTCTGCAGGGGCCTCCTCAGCTGGTGGGGGTGGAACTTCTTCTGCAGGGGTCTCCTCAGTTGGTGGGGGTGGAGCTTCTTCTGCAGGGGCCTCTTCAGTTGGTGGGGGTGGAGCTTCTTCTGCAGGGGCCTCCTCAGTTGGTGGGGGTGGAACTTCTTCTGCAGGGGCCTCCTCAGCTGGTGGGGGTGGAACTTCTTCTGCAGGGGTCTCCTCAGTTAGTGGGGGTGGAACTTCTTCAGCAGGGGCCTCCTCAGTTAGTGGGGGTGGAACTTCTTCTGCCGGGGCCTCCTCAGCTGGTGGAGGTGGAACTTCTTCTGCCGGGGCCTCCTCAGTTAGTGGGGGTGGAACTTCTTCTGCCGGGGCCTCCTCAGTTAGTGGGGGTGGAACTTCTTCTGCCGGGGCCTCCTCAGTTAGTGGGGGTGGAACTTCTTCTGCCGGGGCCTCCTCAGCTGGTGGAGGTGGAACTTCTGCAGGGATGTCTTCTACAAGGGTGTCTTCAGTTGGTGGAGGTGGAACTTCTGCAGGAATGTCTTCTACAAGGGTGTCTTCAGTTGGTGGAGGTGGAACTTCTGCAGAAGTCTCTTCCCCAGGGGCTTCCTCAGCTGGTGGAGGCATAACTTCTGCAGGAGCCTTCTCTGCAGGGACTTCCTCGGTTGATGGAGGCTGACCTCCTTCAAAGACCTCTTCGGCGGGAAATTTCTCATCTAGTACAAGAACGATTTCTGCAGGTACCGCTTCTATTGCTTGCTCACCTAATGATGGCTGAACTTCCACAGGTATTTCTTTAGAAGCCTCCTCAGACGGTAGAGATTGAACTCCATCAGTGGACTCCTCAGCAACAGCAGGCTCTACCTTGCCTGAGCTTTCAAGGAGAGCCTCAGTTGCTAAATTTTGGACTTGAGCAAGCACTTCTTGTGAGAGTGCAAGCAGAATTTCAGTAGGAAGTTCTGAAGGAGCCACTTCAGCTCCTTGGGGTTTCTGTTGATCATAAGATTTATCTGAAAGAGCCCCTTGCACTGACGGATGACTGACGTCAACAGGAGCTTCTACAGAAGGAAGCTCATCAGCTGGTAGAGCCTGGATCTCACCAGAAAACTCTCCTTCAGTGAAAGGCATTATGGCATCCGAGATTTTTTCAGTTGACAGTACCTCTATTTCAAGACTACCATTTACTTCCAACAAGGAACCCTCTTGGGCAACAGGTGTTGTTTCCTCCTTTGACTTAATCAGGGAACTGCCTGGCATAGACATGATAGTAATTTCTAACTCACTAAAGTATGTCTGCTGTTCTTTGTCCACTTTATCTATAGGGCAAATGTTCAACAGACTCCAGTCACCAGTACAGCTGGTCTGCTGAGATCTGTCTATTAAGTGACCTGTGGGTCTGTTTGTTGGAATCTCTACTTCTAGAACACTCTGTGGCAATTCAGGAGCTGTTTCTCCAACACTGGCTGGGGGTTCTTCAAGGGTAAGGGTTTTATCAATGAATAGGACTTTTTCTTCCATAGGAACGTCTGTCTGTAGAGATTTGTCAGTCATTTCCATGCCATGCTTTCTCTTTGTCCAAGTTTGCTGAAGTTGAGAAGAAAGTCTAAGAGACTCATATTCTTTACCAGAGGGATTGCCTTTGCTTCCAGAAATACTACCAATACTGAGGGTAGCTTTGGGGGCAGGAGGTTGTACTACAGCCACAGGTTTCTTTTTTTCTGTCACATCTGTCTGCTGGGACTTGTCTACCATCGGTTGGCTGGGTCGTCTTCTCCTTCTAAATTCCTGCCTCCCTAAGGAGATAGGCTGTTCAGGTTCATCACTTTCTTCCATTTCTATGACCAATGATATCCAAATTTCTCAATCTTCAAGTTATTAATCATTAAGAATTGTAAATGTACCCAGTGGTTAAGTCTTTGCCCTCCTTCATTGAGTTTTTCTATTGAGCTCAGGAAAAAAATAATTCATAAATTATTTCATTCTTCACTACCCTCTTGTTGGATCCCACCTTACTCATTCATCATCTTTCTTGGTTAGTCTCTATAAGGATAATCTCACTTTTAGAAGTTTCCCTCAATGGTCTGTGACATCACAGCCACTTCTCTTCATAAGGTTCCGGAAGTTATATTCTCAGCAGTTTTAAGCTTGGTGTAGTCACATAAGCAATGACTAAAAGTGAGGTGTCTAGCTTTAAAAAAAAAAGCAAACAGGTTGAAAGAAACATTTCTTTCCCAAATGAACAAGAATTTAACTCCAAGAACACCACTAATTGTTAAGGGTGATGCTTTCGAGCTTGCAACTTGGTCCTTTTCCTCTTACTAACAAATAATAATACAGAACTCGGTGTGCTGGAGAAGGTTGTCGATTATTAGAGTTAACATATGTGTAGGAATGTCTGCTAAATGGATGTTTATAGGACTTGAAAAAAGCTGCTACTTTTTAGAAGACTCGTGATTTGAAAGTCAACATCCATGGAAGATCCACTCCTTTGCTTTTAACCTTCAGTGACCACAGCCATGTACTACCAAAAGATGATTCATGTTTTCAGTCTCGAACAACTTAAGGTATTTCTAATTTTATTTCTAGTTATTTTAGAAAGTAGTTTTATCCAAAGTTCTAAAGATGTGAAGCTACTGAGTCTAAATATAAGCCAAGGTAAAAAAAAAATGTTTTTAAAGCAGTCTCTATAGATTCTGCTGAACAACCACATGAAATGAATGCTACAATTGGAAAAAATCGTCTTTCTAGTAATGAATGGGACTGGTTTTATTGAGGGGTTTGATAGGGACAAAAGGTGAATGAGGGAGGCTGAGAGGAGAGGACATTCAGATATATTGTATACAATTTATGAAACTGTCAAATAACAAATTAACTGATAAAAATTTGTATTGAATTGGAAAAGAGAAAACTCACAGAAGCATATCATAGGTGGCAAGTTCAGATTTTATCACATTTAATATATGTGTGTGTGTATTATATATATATGTATATATATATATATATATATATAACCTATTACTCATATATAACACAAGAACACTACAAGATATAGATCGATCAAAAGACATGCAAAAATACTATTCACCTGACAAAAGCAGACAAGACAAGAATAAAGTTTTAAAATGTACTCACAAGGGTCAAAATAATGAACATTTGCTAAATAATAGCATTAATTTAAAAATATTTCAAACTTTTCTTTATTGCTTCTAGACAACATGAAAGCAAATTGAACACTGCCTGTTGATACACAGTGGTGCTATGGATGGCATACAGGGGTGCTATCCCTGTATCTTCCTCCAAATTCATAAATTGAAACCTGAGCCCAGAGGTTCTTCTAGAACCTTCTAGAATAAAATCATCTACAAAGTAGAAACACAGATCAACTGGCACATTGATTACCTTAGACTTTCAGGTCTCCAGAACTCTGAAAATACATACTTGACAACAACTGACTTTAAATTCAAAATAATCAATGAATATTCCCAATACAAAAATATATTTATTTATGATATGATGTCATATCATATGACAAATACCTGTGATGATAGATATGCCAGTAATTCTAATCATTACACATTGAATTCATACGTTGAAATGTCAGCATATGATTGAATCTTAACCCATGTGTATGTACAATTACTATGTCAATTAAAAATAAAAATACATTAAATGAATAAGAACTTCATCTTACCTAATTATGACCGAATTCTTTTAGTATATTCTTTGTTTCTACTAGTAATAGTGAGCTCATAGCCACGATTGATCATGCATACACAATCAATTAATGATTCTACCTAAGATTCTAAACAGGCTTGTGAGGTACTTCATGGAACACTTTCTCATGCTAATTTTTCTTCTTCTTCTTCTTCTTCTTTTTTTAAACTGAAAATATATTCTTTTCTCAAACAACATATCCTGATTACAGTTTCCCCTCCCTCTACTCTTCCCAGCTCCTCCCCCACCTCTCCTCCTCTACAGATCTACTCCCTTTCTGTCTCTCCTTAGAAAACAGCCAGCTTCTAAGAAGAGATCACATGACAAAATAAAATATAATAAGATAAAACAAAACCACCACATCATGGTTGGACAAGCAACCCAATAGAAGGAAAAGAGCCTCAAGAACAGGCAAAAAAGTCAGAGACATGCTCATCCACACCCTCAGGAGTTCCATAAAAATACTAAGCCGAAAGCTACCACATGTATGCAGAGGACATGGTGTAGACCAGGTTAGGCTCTGTACTTGCTGCTTCAGTATCTTTCAGTTCATATAAGCCTTGCTCAATTGATTCAGGGGGCCTGATTCTCCCGGTGTCCTCCATACCCTCTGACACGGCACTTTCTGTGGTCCCCTGAGCTTTGAGGGGAGGGGTTTGATGGAGATGTCCCATTTAGACCAATGTGTTTCCAAGGACTGTCTCTTGCTGTGGATTTCAGCATCTGTTTCTGTCCATGCCAGGAGAAAGCTTCTCTGATAATCTCATACTTTTTCTTAAAGCCTACAGATGCCTTCACAGATGTTTCAAGTGGTGATCTCATTATTCTCTGGTTAAGGTTTGGAATTTAACCCTTTTTCTTGGTAATCTCACATGACTTAGCACTTCTCACTTGATTCACACCTATTGATTATTAAACTGTGATTCCCAAATGAAATTGAAATCCTAATCTTATTATCTGTAGATGTCACATTATTTAAGGATAGGGCGTTGACTGGGGGCATGAAGATATACTCCATTAATCTTAGCACTTAAAGAGACAGACACAGGCAGATCTCTGTTGAAAGCCAGCCTGGTCTACAAACAGGTTCTAAAGCCAGACAGAGCTACATAGGGAGACCCGGTCTTTTTTTTTTTTTTTTTTTAAGTCTCTGCATATGTAATCAAATTAAAATGCTAGTCTTATGGGAAGAAGACTATTTAGACACAAAGACAGAGAAGATGGGGGTATAAAGAGGAGTTTTCAACACAAGGGGGGAGGATCTAAAGTTACCAGAATACAGGAGGGATACGAAGACTGAACCCCAGAGAGTGCCTACCTCTGCCAACTTTATTCGGGATTTGTAGCCTTCAGGAATGTGAGAAAATGTATGTCTGTCATTGTAACCCACTTTTGGGAACTTCCTTGTAGAAGCACTAGGAACTACTGTAGCATGGTTTCCCATCTCCACACTCATGACTTCTGCCTTGCTGGCACTTCAGGCTGAATAACTGGGGCACTTATATTCAGACTCAGAACTGACAAGTATTTTGATACTGTACATGACTTATTCCCATAATCAAAGAACCAGAGGGATTTTCTAAAAGGCTTCTGCCAGTTAATTTGCATTTAATTTTACCAAAAATAAATTTTCTGAATAGCACTTAATTTCATTTAGAATTTTAATGAATTTGAAAGCCATAATTTAGAGGTATCAGACATGCTTCAAATTAATATAGACCTAATATATAAACTGTGACCTATAATGCTTTGTTCCTAACTGACTAGATCAGATAAGATAAAGCCTGGAATATGTTCTTAGATCAGTGGATGATAAGGGCAGAGGGTATAAAATGTAAAACTCTGTGTGTGCCTAAAAGTAAATTAAATTAAAATGTCAGGAGAAACCATAAAATTATGCCAAAATATCACATAAAGATCCTTAATGTCCAAAACACTTTAGGAATCAATATGAAGATAGAGACAATAGAAAACCAAAGAGCACCAGTAAAAACAAAATTATAGATGAAAACAAATGACCAACAAATACATGAGAAAGATTACCAACAATTATATTTTCAAGAAACTTGAATATTGGAAATAATAGCTACCTCAAGTAATATTTTTCGCGTGTATATATTCCAAAGGTATTTCAGATGTTAGGAAAAACCAAACAAAACAAGATGGCATGGTTTCCTGCCCTCATGGACCTTACCTTTCTATAGGAAAACCTAGTGTACACAGCCTGAACCAGACATCTGCAATAAAATGGTATGTGCTGGTGGGTCTGCAGGAATTATTGTGTATATGAACTCACTGTGACTCTGACTGTATGCACAAGATCTGCCCAATATCATGTCAGTGAAAGCTCTCAGCAGGAATGGGGTAGGGGCTTAGGAAATCCCACCTCTACCTCAAGCTGAAGAGCTATCGGTACTTGATGGCTTCTGGGAGGAGAAAAGTCAGTGTTCTGCGGGGATATGGCCCCCAAGAGACTCCCCATGCTCTAGCAGAGTGTCCTACACCTATACCCATACAGGTAGCCCTAAGTGGACTCTGGAGATTTTTTTAAAGAAGAGCACATGAAGTTGGTACGGAAAAGTATGTGGAGAGAGGAGGGAAACTGGAGGGGAAGGAATAGGGGCTGGACTTGATCAAAACCTATGTGTGAAATACTCAAACAAAAATATGAATTGTTAGAAGTACTTTTAGAGGATGAGGAGAGAAGGATTTGTAGGAAAGAGTATGGAATTGAGAAACCATAAAAAGTGGGGGTTGTGTTAAGAAGCAAATGCCACCTTCTTGGGAATTATGAAAGGAAGGAGGCCAGGAGTGGTGTGGTGGTACATAAAATGTGCTGGAAAAAGTTAATAAGGGGCACCGTGACTTACAGAATATATCAAGAAATACTGTTTTATTTTAAACACTAGAAAATGATTTCTGTCCTCTGTATTCAGATAGTTATAGGAAGAGGGGAGATGAGAATTCATTTGTACTGCTGCATTGTAAATGGCCACAAATGTAGCATCTTTTTTTTTTTCATGCAATAGCAAACTTTATTCAGGGCATCAGACAATTTATAGTCTCTGTGTTAGAAGAGTCACTTGAGTAAAGTGTAGCATCTTAAACCAATACAGATG